TCTTTTACATTTATATTCTCTTGGCTACATGCCTTTCATTTGACGATGAGGATCTCAGGTCATCTCTTTTCCTACAATCCAACCAGCTTGAATTCAAGCGTGGGTGGCACAGTTTTACCTCATTGCAAAAGGCCTCCTTCCTGACAACATGGGAATGATTATTACCCATCAATAGTGGGCATGCAGTTGCAAAGTTGCATTTAGATGTGGGGAGAGCCTGTTTTTGTAAATTGAACAAGTGAGCAGAGCTGTGGCTAGGGCCACAAATGAAATCTTGTCAGCTTTTTTTTTGTCTATCTAAAAACTTTGTCTTATCAGATAGACCAGACCCAAAAAGTGATACTATACGTTATTGGTTGGCTGCAATAATAGAATGTTGCAAGATGCTTTGTGCTTTTCCCCCCTTCCTCTCTCTTCAATCCCACCAAGTCAGGGAGGGCTATCCTGACTCTCTTCTTAATACTACCTCTGTAACAGGCACCTCCTATAAATATAGATGTCTATTAATGTATCATAGATGCTAGTGTTGCATTTGAAATCTTCTGATTGCATGCAGTTTAACAAGTGCCATGGAAAGGATTGTCTTAACTCCTACTTCTGTTGCCTAATTCTCTTCTGATCCTACAAACATCTTGGACTTTGTGAATCAGGGCAGAACCAGGAAGCAGAATCTTCCTTTCCATGAAATAATAGGCTTCATGGAGGGCAGAGTACATTAGAACACACAATGGATTAATATCAATGTGGAGGATTAAAGTATCTGACTCTCTCCTTAAGGACACTTGTGGAAAAGTAGCAGTTAACTTTTCCCAAGGTATGTTTACTGCACCCACCATTATTCCATCAGGAAAATGGGGGCAATGTTCACCCATAATCAGAGGCTGTAGAGAACCATCAAGGGCCATATATGGTCTAGCACAGGGGTGTCAAACAAGCAACGTCACGTGTCGCGACGTATCGCGACTTTTTTCCATTGCCGGCAATAGGGTGGGCGCGGTTTCATCATGACACATCTGGCCCGCGGGCCGGCAGTTTGACACCCCTGGTCTAGCACAAGGACGTCCAACCTTGGCAGCTTTAAGACTTGTGAACTTCTACTCCCAGAATTTCCCAGTCACCCATGCTGGCTGGGGAATTCTGGAAGTTGAAGTCCACAAGTTTTAAAGTTGCCAAACTTGGACACACCCCTGCTCTAGCAGAAATGTTAATGTTCACCTTTGAAAATTCAAAACTTAAAGGGCGGTCAGATCTTCTCCATGCTGTAGAAGATATTGCATTTTCTTCCTTTACATTCCCTATGCCCAAAGCAAGAGAAGGGAAATTAACTCACAAAGTAACTAGAGAGTATTTTCCCCAGCAAAGCCTCTTCCCCTTGCCCACTCAGCTGACATTGACAGGAAGAGTTCATGATTTAGGAATGCTGTAGAAAAAAAACAAGCACCTTAAACAGAATTTTATTAGAAAACTTTCATTGAACATTGAAAATGCAGTAAAAATATATTTTATATTTGCAGCAAACTGCTACTCTCCCTTTTCATCCAATGGGAAAGGACTGTACTTAAGTCTAGAAAGTTCGGTTCTTAATCTCACATCTCTCTGAAAACCATCTATCCAGCCTCTCTCCTCTTCAGTTCAATGACTGAAAAACAAGAGGCAGTCCTCTTCAGAGTAGGCATGAACCCTTACGCAATCACCACCACCACATAGCTCTCCATCTTTGTTTCACCCCTGCATGGTCCTTCCTGTAAAGCTCCACTTTCGGAAAGAAGGATCCCCAGTACAGTAGAACTGGACAAGGAAGAACTGATTTATGGGTAGTTGTTTATTGCTCGTTCGGTGACCAGTTACAACAGTTCTGAAAAATGGAGATTTACAACCAGTCCTCAAACTTGCAGCTTTTGCAGTGTTACACATGGTCCCATGCTTGCAATTTGTGCTCATTTATAATGATTGAGCACCTGCAATCACGAGATTGCCGTTTGCAACTTTCACAGAGGCTTTGAGATAAGTTGGGATAGCTGGCAGGAAGTTGCAAGTTGCAGTCACATGACATCACACATAATGACTGCTGGGATTTGCTTCAAGACTATAGCTTGAACTGATATTGTAAGTCAGGGATCACATGATGTCCCATTTTATAGAAGGATGGGAGGCAAATGAGTCAAATTACGATTCATTTTATCATTGCATTGCTTAACCACAATGTTGCTGGTCCCAATTATAGTGTGAAAGTGAGGACTGCTTGAACTATTGTGGGCTACTGTTGTCACTGCTATAGGAGAAAAACCCAGAAATGTTGATAATTATGTTTTTGTAGATCAGCCACAAAATTTTAATGTTTCTTCACAGCGTAAGAGAAAGAAACCTTACCTTATTCTTTCCCTAGTCGTCACATGGAAATTAATGAGTTGCTAGGCTACCAGAAATTTTGTTCCATGCTTATGAGCTGAATAATATTTTAGGGAGCCAATCTCATTTATGTTTTAGACTTTTTCCTGCAACTAATGAAATAAAAGACCCTCAAACTGAAATTCTGTCAACACATAATTGGGTTATGATCCCTGGTGTACTCTTTGTATTTGTCATGGAATTGTTAGGACTTCATCATCTAAGTCAGGGGTAGGCAACCTTGGCTCTTTTATGACTCGTGGACTTCAACTCCCAGAATTCCTGGCTTGGGAATTCTGGGAGTTGAAGTCCACGAGTCATAAAAGAGCCAAGGTTGCCTACCTCTGATCTAAGTGAAAAAACGTTGTTCGGAAAAGGCAATCCCTTGCAATTCCTGAAGCCGAACCTAAGCTGCCATCCTATAGTTGGAAGTATGTCCTAAAAACTCAATAGGTTTTACAGTACATCTAAGTAGGAATGCATAGCCTTGTATAAAAAAGTATGGGATAACTGCATTCTAGGAAGGCTGATTACTTATTTAAAAAACTAATTTGCATGACTTTGTCTTGGTTTTGTGTACCCTGGAATGTATAGGGATAAGAACACCATTGGGAAGTTAGAAGAATTGATTTGATTCTTCAGAGCCTACTGGATAAGGGGATATTTCAGAAATGCTTATTTTTGCCAGTGATGCTACCTTTGTGTAATACTGCTGTCAACCTGTACATTTGTAAATAAAGAGATTGCTAACAAAGCTGTCATTTCTAACTTTTCCATCAATGTATCACACCTAAGATTGTGAAACTTGTTCTTTTTTATCTCTTATTACCAGATAAAGATCATTTTGTTGAGATTTTTTTTTTAAATTAACCTTAGTATACTGCATTAGCAACTATTTGTCATGCAGCGTCTATTTTGGGAGGCTATTTTCTTTGCTGTCAGTTGACTTTTTTATTGTTTAAGTAGAAAAGTGGGAGACATTTTATCTTATCTTCATATTATGATTGTTTATTACTTACAAATACTATAGAAAACTGGGAGATAATTGGAGGCAACCTCTTCTTTATACAACGGCATTAAAGCATTTATTACTTCTGGAAATAGACACAGCCATCAGCATCTATAACATACATTAATGGCTAGTGGATTTTAATGCTCAACCATCATCTTTGCAGTTTAAGATCCTTAAAAGCTCCTAAACCGATTATTGGCAATGATGCTCTTCCTTTAATACCTTCTCAACTTGCTTCTGTTTAAAATAACCTTAGTAGCAAAAAGAGGATGCAAGATTTTAAAATTGGTTTGCATCTTTAGCAAAAGCTTCTTCTGCAGGCATTAAAGCTCACCTCTTTGTTTGAGATGTACATACTGAAGCATGTGATCACATGACAAAACAAGAGCCAAAATAGTTTGATAAACTTTTAAAGTCTGTCTTAGAGTTTAAATTCTTTTACTGAAAACAGTAACAGTTAGCATACTATCTAACACAAGGTGTGATTCAGTCACACTTCAGAATATTTAGAGAACATTTTACTTAAATTTATTCAAATCAACCCAGTTTCTCATTTTGCAGCTTAACCCAAGGGTTTTGGCAAGTCACTATGGGACTATCTTTCCGAATGACTTTTAAATCACTTTTGAAGTAGCAGCAGTCACCTTTCAAAATAAAAGTAAAATGAAATATGAAATGATTTGCGCATGTTTCTCTTAAAAGCTGAATTCAGTGAAAGACAGTTCACGCAACATGCTTTACCTGATTACCAAAGTGGTTCATTTTTCTGGTTTCCACAATACCTTGAATCGTCAGCTAGCCAAGCAGGCTAGGCTCATGCAACATACAAAGGCAGTGAAAACCTAACTCTAACCAAATGTGCCATATTGTGCAAAATGCGCTTAGTGATTACCCACACACCTAGAGCCACTAATTCAGAAAATTGGGCTTCGTGAGTGAAATTAAGAAAAATGTTTCAAATAGGCATATATTTTTCAACATTTAATCATGGCCATTTCACTGATCATGTTTAGATGAGAAGGAAATTTAATATATAGGGTTTTTTTTCCTCATAACAAAACACTGTTCATAGAACATTAACTGGGCAAGAACTGGGCATTAGGCCCATCATCAAGTGGTAGCCGATTCTGTTCAGGATTGTGGCTCATTTTCATGAAAAATATTTGCTTTATACCATATCAAACCAAAATTTATTTTCATAATTTCCTCTGCTCCCAAAAGAGGGCACTGTCAAAACAAAAGGATGGAGCCAAGGCAATCCCTGATTTAGATGTACATTTAGTAAAAACCATTCAATTAATACAAGTCGTCCAGCCGTATTTATAAATTAGTACTTATAAAAAATGACAACTTTTTTCTGTAATTTTTCATTGTAGTTTTTCTTCTTCAAAGGCAGAAAGACTAGGCTTGAAAAATGAATAACATCTCTGATACTCTATATATTGTACATAGCATACAATAGTTTTTGTTAAAAAAAATCCCCTCCGTTTGTTAATAGCTGAAGAAAATACTATAGAGACATATAATACCATCTATGCCATATTTTCAAATCTAAGGCAAAGTTACATCGATCAACTTCAGAGAAAAATGAAACGCCATCTTGATGGAAATGTGGCATCATTTATTTAAAGCCACTTGTACTGTGACAAATCTCTTGGAAATGATATATTTTTCTTTGTTATCTCCCTAGAAAACAGTTCAAATAATTGAGAGAAAATTACTGACAGAAGTAGACACTGAAAAGATTATTATTTATATTGGTCAAGTGAATTCAAAAGCTAGTGTTCAGGCCCAGATATCCTGCAGGTATCTTTTTTCTTCTCTTAACGTAGCCAGTATTTTCAATGCATCCAACTTATCAACTCCTTTCTCAGTGGTGAAGACTTCCACCAGAGTATCATTCACATCTTTAGCCATATTTTTTGCATCTCTAAAAAAAAAACAGGAAGAGAGAAAACAGTTGTAATTGATTTAAATAGATTTTAATACAGAGAGCTGTGTGGTGGCCTAGAGGTGGAGCTCTCACCTCCCAATCAGGAGGCTGTGAGTTGAAACTAGATAGCAGATATTTCTCCCTCTGGGCCCAGAGAGAAAATATCTGTTGTGAACTCTGCGTAGGTGTCAGGAAGGGCATCCAGCCATAGTAAAAGCTCCTCCAGTTAGTCACCCTGACTCTACCCCAATGCAAGGGATTATTGGGGCATTAAAATAATAAAAAATAGTAACACAGACAACAGTCCATACAGTATTGCTATCAACTAGCAAAGACCACAGACTCTGAGGTTTAAAAGAAATCAATTAAATATTCTGTTAAATATTGCATTATGTCCAGCACAGCACAGTCCCTGCAAACAGGCCAATGGTGGTATTAAATGGCAAGGTATAATTCTCTAGTTCTCACCTTGCAATATTCTGAATATAGGTATCAATATACTTCTTTTAATAACCAGACTTTAAAAACTAAAATTAACCGCTTTACATGTTTGGTTTAATTTTGGGGTGTCATTTCAGAGTTATAACCTGCCTGCCTGCCTTATTTCTAGGTTTTTAAAATGTTCAGGAAAAACCTGCTATTTATAAAAATGTCCATATATTCATATATGTCAAACATTTAACTATTGATAAATATATAATTTATCAATATCATATTATAGTAATTTACACTGAGGTCCAGTTGATTGGAGATTCTCTTGGGCAAACTCATATGGAACGAGTTGGGATGCAATCAAAAGTGCTACACTATTCCAAAGGTTCTTTTCCTTCTGGTGCGCAAGGCTGCCAGTGGGTTTTGGCTAGGTCTCAAATAAATCCAGGGGAATATCTAAGGAACTGAAGGCCTATTTTGCATTGGCAAATGTCAGTATTCATGAGACTACCATCAGGAGAACCCTGAACAACAATGGGGGGTGTGGATTGCAAGGAGAAAGACCCTACTCTCCAAAAATGAATATCACTGTCTACCATTTGTGAAAGATCATGTGGATAAGCCAGAAGATTAATGGAAGAATGTTCTGTGGATAGATGAAACCAAAATAAAACTTTTTGGCTTTGATGAAAAGCATTACATTTGGTGAAAGACAAAGACTGCAATCAAACAGAAGAACCTTATCCCATCCCATGGCGGTGGCATTATCATAGTCTGAGCCCATTTCGCTGCCTCTGGACCAAGAGAAGTTGCCACCATGGATGGATTCTGAATTTTACCAGAAAATTCTACAGGAAAATGCCAGAGTGCATGTCTGTGTGTGTCCGTGAACTGAAACTCAAGAGAAAGTGAGTCATGTAGCAACACAATGATCCAAAATATTAAAATTCTACAACCAAAAAGAAAATTGTACAACTTTGTGGCAAGATAGACAGCAAAATAAATAAATAAATATTTCAAGCAGAAGAAAGTTAATGTTTGAATGGTCAAGTCCAAGTCTTGATTTTAATCCAACACTCCTGAGTTAAAGGTGTTTTATAAGAAGAAATCGACTAAAATCCATGCAAGCTGATATGCAGGACTAATCAACAGTTCTCAGGAACATTTAGTTGCAGATATGGCTGCCCAAGGCAGGCACATCAGTTACTAAAAAGTCACATATTTTACCATACAGAAACATATAACTTCAGATCATTTTCTTCAATAAATAAATGAACAAGTATGATGCTGCTTACTCAGTACCTATATATTAGTATGAGGCAAGAGATATATTTCTGTAACTGGTGTTTTTAGCCTGTTTAGGGTCGTTTAATCTTGTCTTTTTTCTCTGCATCCTAGCCCCCTTACTTGCCTTAACTTGTAACCTGATTTCTCTATTATTTTGACTCAACAAGATTAACCCAGAAATACTTGCTCTTCTTTCTAATTCATTTTTCTTCATTCTTTCAAGCAACTTTTATTGTTATCCTGTCATCTTCCCACTGACAGCAGTAATGAAAACTGCCTCCAGGATTTCCTTGTCTTTAAAAAAAGTCATAACTGCAAAAACACCTGGATTTCTCATTGATTTCGGGGTTTTATATTATTTTGCTCTCACTTTTTGTATTGCCAGTGATGAAAGCCTGAAGGTTTGTGTTTGTACATGCTAAGCTTACAGCCGCAAACTGTTTAACACATTCTTGCATATCCAACGCTTATAAAAATTCAGCATTACTCACCCACACACGTAAAAATATCCTTTCTCCTGTAGCAAAATCCTACTAATCTCTTTACAGTAAAGCCGGAGGTTATCTTGAACGTACTTAGGAGGGGCGGTTTCTGCTACAGCTGGAACATCTCTTGAGAAGCAAACTATCAGGTAAGTTAACACGCCATTTTCAAGAAAGCACCTGAGCTCATCTCTGAAAGAGAAAACCAAAAAAGAGGTTGGAATGAAGAAATTATGGTTCCAATGGACAACTGCTGAATGTTAAAATGCTCCTAATGAGGAGCAGAAGAAAAACTTACTGGAACAAGTAATCTCTGGCCTTATAGCGGCAGCCAAAAAACAACCACGTCTCTCCAAACATATAATCTGGGTGCTTTTCTCTGAGCTTCTGCCTAAATAAAATATCCAATTAAAAATAATACAGTTATGAAACGGATTATGCATAGCTTCTATCTGAAAAGTTAAATTGTTATTGGTTCCTGAAGGATAAACAGATTATAAACCTAAAATTTACAATATTTGTAGCAAAATATTTTTTTTTACATACAAAGAGTAACCCATACCTTCCATTATTAATATAAATTGTACAGAAGAATTATACCTGCACAGCATTGTGAAGGATTCTGGATCTGAGACTCCCATTGCAATGAAATTACTGTTTTGCACTTACAAGGCCCTCAATTATGGTAGCAAGGTATACAGGTTACAGCAAAACTTTACACCTAGAATCTGAGAGCAAATTGAAACTCTTGATCAATCAGTCCATTTACCAATAAATCTGTGCTAATCTGGAATTAGGTATCATTGTGTGCAAAAGTTTAAGTAGTCATCAGACTGCATGTTCCAATGACTCCCTAAATGAAGAAAAGCTAACACAAGCTAAAACCTTTCTGCAATTTTAAATAAACATATACTATTTAGTGTAGCAATTTACATATTCAGAACAACAAAAAGTGAATATGAGTTTCAGCAGTTTGGACATCCTTTCAGAGTAGTACTATGCAGCATCTCCTTTGGCAGAAGCTTGGATTTTTTTTCCTTATAGTTAAGTATCTATGATTTCTTTTGAATTTCCCCCCCTATTCTTCCTTTAAGAACTCTTCTAGCTTAGAAATATTCTTAAAGCTCCTTCATGTATTGTGTATCTGATATTTCTCCACAAATATTCAGTAAAATTCAAGTCTGGGAATTGCAAATACCATCCACAAACCTTTACCTATCTAGACAATACTTTATGGTTCATTGTTGAAACCTGAGGAACAGGTGTACCTCATTGTCTACATTCAACTATATTTACAATAGTAGAAATACACTAAGTCAATTAAACACAACGCTGTAGTGTTTCACGTAAATAGGGGCTTTTAGACATATTTCTCGTAGATTAACATAGGTCCTACTTCTCCTACTTGATATTCATTCAGTCCATTATCGGATCAGAATGGCCTTATAACCCTGAAATGCTTTCTGTTGTAACTAAATCAACATTTTACTCATTTCATAGCTGCATATAACGTACATTGGCTATTTCAATAATATGGAACGAATTGGTCCCAGCAGCTTGTTAAGCACTGACTTGCATTATTAACAGTAATGACAGCCAATCTGTTGCCTCTCCATTTTCCAGGGCAGTGCCTGGCTATCTCAATTAATGCTATTCTATGAATCAGTTTGTAAAAGAAGTCATTTGGCATGACAACCATTCAATTTCATGCTCCACATACAGTTAGTTTTCTAGAAAACTCTCCTTATTACTCTTCCCTATATTACAAAATGAAGCGTAAAGTTTGATGTGGTAAACTCATGTTAATTAAATGAATAAATTGCAATGTGTTTGGAATGAAAAAAGGGTCAAATATTGAACTTAGGATGTTCTGCACATCTACAGTTCAGCTTTGACAGTTATCATCTTCAAGCATAACTGATGTGATGTTTAAAAAGCTGCAGCTCACATCAACCAATAAAAGAACCTTTGACATACTAAAAAGAAATGCAGTAAGTTGAAACCAATGTAATCCAAGCAACTTTCCAAGCATCTATGATCATAACATATTATCACAGCGAACAAAACTAATATGAAGCTTTTATTCCCTAATTTGCATAAAATGCTCCTGAAATAACAATGTATGCAAAGATAAGATAAGATAAGATAAAATAAGATAAGATAAGATAACCTTTATTGTCTTTTTTTTACTGTGGGCACAACGGCACACATCAAAAATGAAATTTAGTTGCCTGCTCTCAAAGTGAAACACATACCTGACACACACCTAAACATACTATGAACAATATATGTATAGACCCACATACAAACATGTAACTTGAATATTTCATTTAGTATAGTTGTAATCTATTAAACCAAAATGAACTGGAAATAAGATATTGGGATTCTATTTTGCTTAACTAGCATCTAGCCCATCTGGCTTAGCTCAAAAGTTAAACAAGGTCAGATCAAATTCATATTTGAAAGGCAACCTGTGGTAAAATTGAAGAGGGGAAAAAAACAGGCATTATCACAGATATGATTAATTGGGAATACTATAGTTTAATCCAGGTTGGTCTCCTTTTCACCATTCATTACACATAAGAAGCATGCAACGAGACTGCATATACTTTTATACACTTTTAAAACATACAATTTAATTAATTTTTAAAAACACTACGTTAATTATTAATTTATGTTACTTCTTATAAATTACAGTAAATAGCACTATAGCAATATATTACTTTAGTGTTAAAAGACTATATATAGAAACCTAGGTTGCTATAGAGCCATGGTGGCACAGTGGTTAGAATGCAGTACTGCAGGCTACTACTGCTGACTGCCGGCTGCCAGCAGTTCGCCATTTTGATTCTCACCAGCTCAAGGTTGACTCAGCCTTCCATCCTTCCGAGGTGAGGACCCAGATTGTTGGAGGCAATATGCTGACTCTGTAAACCGCTTAGAGAGGGCTGTAAAACACTGTGAAGTGGTATATATGTCTAAGTGCTATTGCTAATAAAAACAGCTATGTAGCAAGAAGGGGGGAAAAAAGCAAACACCCCCCCTCCTAAAACCTATACTAAACTACTAATAGTGGGATGGAGGAGAATTTTTCAAAAAAGGAAAAAGATGACAAATAAAAAAATCACTTGAAGGCAACAGAATAATAATAATAAAAAACAAATGTAAACCTCTAACGAAAAACAACATCTCCCAAGCCAGCAATTCCCCATAGCTTAACATTATGCTCTCTAATAATACAATTGGACTGGTTGAAGATTTCATTCATAGAAGACATGTCTCGCGAGACAAAGGACTCTGTCTCCATGGCATACAATCAGAATCTGATTGTTTATGTTCAGGTAAAGATTTTCAGAGTGTTTCCACTCATCAACAGAAGCTAGAAAGTAGATTATTGGTGACAGACTGACATGTTTAAAAGACTTGCCTATGCTGAAGAAAGCTGATAAATGGTGCAATTCCAGTTCCTGGACCAACCATAATAAAAGGAACAGATGGGTTGTCTGGTAGGTGGAAAACATTCGATAGGCGAGACGTTATGTTGATCTAAAATGCAATTAAAATGAAACTGAAGAAAACGTACAAACCAATACCCTCTCCCCCAGTGATTAGGCATGATTCCTGATTTACTCTTTATTTTTATTTTTATTTTTTTTAAAAAAAGATACACAGGAATGATTAAAGTACGAAATAATTAATGATTTCTATTGAAAGGAGGTGAAATAAGATGACAGAAACTCAATTTCTAACAACAGAAATTGGTTTACCAAGTGCAACATTTGTCTTTGACATTTTCTACCACAGCATGGTGTGACAGTTGCTTCTACATTTTGAAAGGAACAATCATGATAGATTGTTAAGAAGGTCACAGACAAAAGAACAGTAAGTCACAGGCCTTGCTTCTATTAAAACATAGTTTCTGTTAATGTAACAAATGAAAGGCTTGTGTCATTATAAGCATTTTTCATATAGCTGCAAAGATCCCTGCTGTTTCTTTAGCAAATACTTGATGTCATGAAATAATTTCTTTTTTAAATGACTGCCATTTCCTATTTGGCCATAAAGCACTTCATATGGTTGCAAGTTGATTCTTGTCACTAGAAGTGGTTTGTTTCCTTCAAACGAATTCTGAAATTCTTAGATTATTTATATACTCTTTCAACAGAATTATTATTATTACTCTCTTTCTTTTTTTTTACTTAATTTTTATTAAAGAAATATTTTAAAGACAAGAAAAAGAAAGTAAAAAAAAAGAAAACGTGGTTAGTAAAAAGAGAAAAAAAGGAAAAAGGAGCTGAAGGATTGGCTATCAATCTTCTTTACAGCAGTCATAAATACATTATAATTTATCCTGTCTCTAAGATTACATCCTGGCTCTCTTCTTTCCATATTTTACCTTTTCTAGGTATCAAACCTACAAATCACAAGTTCATTTTTTTCCATTTTCAGTAAAAAGGATTTCCAGTCCCTGACAAATGTAAACATTGTGTTTTCTCTAACCAAATAAGTCATTTTGCCATTTCTGGAAATTCTGTTATCTTTACCAACTATTTCTCCATTTTGGGTATTTCATTTGGGTATATCTGTCCATCTTTGTTCATATAACAGTCTCATTGTGGATGTTATGTACAAAAACAATCCTCCATAAGTCTTTTCTAGTTATTTATCCATTAATCCCAGTAAGAAAGGATCTGGTTTCAGATGAATATTAATCTTTAACACTCTTTATTTAAACCCCAAATTTTCTAGCTTTTTTACAAGTCCACCAAGCATGATAAAATGTTTTCCACATTTCCAAGATAGATCTGAAGAACTGTTATACATTCTAGAAAGTTTTTGTAGTGTCACATACCAACAGTACATCATTTTATACAAATTATTTTTTAAATTATAATAAACATGTGTAATTTGTAAATTATAATATATTTCTCATCAACAATCCCAAATCAGTGTACATTAATCATAAAATGATTATCAAAGATAGTTGTTACAGTTAATTGCTACAATGTTTTATGATTTGGCTTCCATTTTCATCCATCCTCATCTTCCCATCTCCCAAATCCATCCAAACTTCCTCCAAAATATTCCAACATTCTGGCCCTCAGGACTGGAAGTTTCCATTTTCAGAACCAGGTCTGCTAGTAGAACGATCTCTTTACATAGGATCCTAAAATTATATTCTATAACTGCTACTAGCAATCCACAAACCACTATGCTAAGAATGGAAGCAATTATTTTCTCAGATTGTGCCTCGCGAAACATAAGCTTTTTATCAACTGTTAATACCTGTGGAGAGAGGAATTCTTTGCTCTTCTGATTCACCTGAAGGACTGGGGCAACCAGATCAGCTAGCCAACCCGTACAGACCCCTCTTCGCAGCTCACCTAGGTGGGATGGAAACTCCAGAATATTAAAGATGAAATGCATCTTTCCAGGATGAAACAAAGTCGAACTGCAATGAAATAGTCAAAGGAAAAACCAAATGTTCTATTGAATAATAATAAAGTATTCTGTCAAAAGCAAGGGTTATTCTGGGCAGTTAAGCTGCTATGCGCTTTACGAGATTCTTTTTATTCTCAGAATGATCATAAGATATTATTATTGTCCAATATTCCAGATAGGAATCTGAGGCTGAAAGCATGTGATCAGTTACGACAGTTAATAGGAAAGACAGTTCCCAAAAGCTCTCTGATTATAACTGTTCAGTTTCTCTGCATGGTATATCAGAATTTCAATGATTAGCCTTGCAGAAAGACGGCTGAGGAATCACAAACACACACCATGAAGGTGCTGCTAGAGGCTAACAGCTTTGTAATTCAAAGGCCTGAGACTTGGCTCCACCTTGAATCAGTTTGAAACAGTGGTTTGCCTGGACAAATGAGCCACAACAAACCAAATAGGAACTTCCAAAACAGAGATAATGCTTAGCAAAGACGCCTATTCATTCTGCTGTTACTAGTGCTGAGAAACAAACCACAAGAAATCTAATGAAGTATACATAGAAATGACCTCCAGTCTTCAATTGTGAAGCTAGTACACTTCCAAGATTTCAATTTAACTTCTCAGTTATCTTCTCCAACCAGAAAAGGATTGGATCCATTTAAACAAATGGAAAACACTTCCAGTTCACAATTAAAATGTAATTACATTACCTTGCAACTGAATAGGGTCTGGCTTGCAACTTTGGAAGATGTTCTGAAAAGGAACAAACCTGTGAGTATAAAGGTTTAGCCTTGAATCCTCTCTCATCTATTTACAGAAACAAAACAACAACAAAATATTCTAATAACTAGGTATTTGCATAAAACATATTGCATACACATTCTGAAGTATTCTGTATATTGTATTCTGATTGCAATTTTTTATAAACATTCCTGTATAGAAGTCCAATAATACTACCACTATATCTAACATCACCTCTAAGCTTGATTTATACTCAATACAGTTGGGCAGGCTTTCAATTGCTGGATTGCGGAGATGGTTAATTGGGTTTAAGAGAGAGGTGGTATCAACACTATGAAAAAAGCAGTGATATATTCCCTCCTGAAGAGGTACTGCTTGATTCAGTCATTGAGACTCCAATGTTCTGTGGTGGGCAGAGGGATCTGTAGAAGAGTTGTCAAGGGGAAAAACAAGTGTTATGCTGTAAACTTCTTTTCTCTATGTGCCATAACCCTGAGTATGTACTGTATGTATGAAAGGAGAGAATTTGTATTGCAAAAATACAATACTGTTCCTTTGATAAAAACATCATGCCCTGCAGATGTCTCTGGTAATGGGTGTCAGGTTACAGAGGGATGGTTCTAAAGCAAATGGATTATCTGGATCGTTTACAGTCAGCATATAAATGGTTTTGTTAAAATGGAGGATGATTTTTCTCAAGACCTGTATGGAGAGAGTGCAATTTTCCTGATCTCTTTAGATCTTTTGGCAGCATTCTCTATCATTAACAAGGCAATTCCAGAGTCATTTTTGAGTTGTCAGCTTACATACAGCCAACTAACTTCTGGACTATCTATAATTGTTGGGATTTGGTAGAACTGTTCTTTGGTGGTTCCAGACTAAGTAAATGGCAATTCCAGTTAAGAGCATGTGTGAGGAAATAATAGTTGTGCCTATAATTATTCCATTATGGTGCTTGGTCCTCCTTTCCATATTATTTAATATCTACATAAAACCACTCATTTGCCCATTCAGTTTCTCAAGAAGGGTATGCTGTGTGAACTGGGCGAAGCCTATTGATGCACTTTTTTTATGACTGCCAACAGACTCTGAACATAAGAACTTCTCTTAAACAACTTGCATTTCAAAAGGCAGTGAAGACCTTATCTTCCTGCAGGCATTTGAGCACTGAAGTAAAAAGGCTATTAATTAATTAGACTATTAATTTTGTTGCTCTCTTTTTGTTTTGATTGTAATCCCCTATGAGTACAGGTGGTCTGTAAAAACCTATAAATAAATAAATAAATAAATAAATAAATAAATAAACAAACAAACAAACAAACAAACAAACAAACATTACAAAATGAGTACAGGGTGAGCCTTAAGATAGGAATGTTCTAATTCATAGCTCCATAACTTAGTTATTGTTCCAGATGTACAACTTAATATGGAATATATAACTCGTACAGCAAGACAAGTCATAGTGTAAAATTTATTAGGGTCATTCAGCTAAGCTTGTTTGGAAAGTGGGCAGCATATCAACTTCTAAATACATAAATCTTTAGTATCTTGTTTTCTCTAGTTGAAACATTCCAAAAAAGGACTCACCAATCAAAAGACTAAGTGGAGGCTTGCAAGTTGGGAAAACCCGGAGCAAATCTAATAAACTAACACTAGGATTCCTTATAAAAGAGTTATAATCCGAGGATCCTTGCTTGCTACACAATTCTTGAAGTCTTCTTTTTTCACTAATAGCAGTGGTATATTCTACCAAAGAGCGCAGAAATGCCTAATAAATAAATACACAAATAATTCAGACTTGACCATGAGTTAACAAAACTAACCTACACTATTTAAAATATAGTCTTCCTACTCAATTTCATAATGTTAGTCATAATAAATGGATCCCCAAACCAAAAGGAAATAGATATGAATTGGGTTTGAAACAACCCATATGTTTAACACTAACAAATTACATTAAAACTATAGAAGTGCATAAAAATAAATGAAAAATAAACACAATTTAATATACATTGTGCTTTTATAAATATATAAAATGTAAACAAGTTGAGAAACACTGTCAGTAAATAGAAGTCTCCATAGATTGTTAAGTGATGACATCTAGTGGATTATACTGAAAAAATATCCCAAAATGTTCATCTGCAGACATACAATTTAAACACTGGGTATTCAGACTCAGCTTATCTAATTGAAAAAGTAATATTATCTGCACACACAAAAACAGCATTATTCAAACATGTAGTTAATTGATTATTACTATGAGCTCCACAATAGCAATTTTATTCAGTGCAAAAAAGAGACAAATCTTTTTTTTTACAGTATTCATAGAAATATTTCCTGATTCTGAAGGGATATAAAATTATTTCATTTAGTATATGCAACTATTTATACATTTACTGTATTGCCCATCAAAGATAAAAAGAAAAAAGAAAGAACGATGATGCATTTTTCTCAACATCAGGCAATAATCAACTTGGCTAGACGCTTAAGTAAGCAACACATCAGCTTTTGAAGACATTTAATTTGAAAACCAGACAGTACAGCTGCAGTACAGAGACAAACTAAAATGGCATTTGGTGTAGACTCAAAGTGAATCTTGCTGTGTACCAAGAATTATAGTTACTGACTACATGACTATATGAAAAATTAAATGGGAAAAATACCTTTTTGGGAACTGCTCTGATTTCCAGACACCATGTAAAAATAAATTTAACAGTATTCTTATCTGATATATACTGTGGCAATGTTGCTCCTATTTTAAAAGAATAACATAAGTTAAAACAGAGACCATATAGAAAAACTTTCATCTTCTGTATAATTACTTGGCAATCTAAAAAGCAACCCAACTCCTTTGGATCAGGTAGTATAAAGCAGGCCCTGGGATATAATTTGCCCATATATTCTGAGGACTGCAGTGAGCATGCTCGTAATTGACAAGCTCAAAACTCTTAGAGGATAATCCTGAGGGGTAAACAGAAAATCCTTCCTGAAACACTTCCTCAAGTACCACATGCAGAAGGGTTCTCGGCATAAATGTTAAAACTTAACAAGATCAATTGCAGATAGTTTGCATCCATTTGTATCTAAATAATAATAATAATAATAAAATTGGAAGGGACCTTGGAAGTCATCTAGTCCAACCCCCTGCTCAGGGAGGAAATCCTATACCATTTCAGACAAATGGCTGTCCAGTCTCTTCTTAAAAACTTCCAGTGTTGAAGCATTCACCACTTCTGGAGGCAGGTTGTTCCACTGGTTAATTGTTCTAACTATCAGGAAGTTTCTCCTTAGTTCTAGGTTGCTTCTCTCCTTGATTAGTTTCCATCCGTTGCTTCTTGTCCTGCTTTCAGGCGCTTTGGAGAATAGCATGACTCCCTCTTCTTTGTGGCAGCCCCTGAGATATTGGAACACTGCTATCATGTCACCCCTCGTCCTTCTCTTCTTCATTAAACTAGACATACCCAATTCCAGCAACCTTTCCTTATATGTTTTAGCCTCCAGTCCCCTAAACATCTTTGTTGCTCTTCTCTGTACTCTTTCTAGAGTCTCAACATCTTTTTGATGCCAGACTGAAAGGAGCTTTTACAGCAGATTTTATGGGTGTGCAAAAAAGAGATCAATGGGAAGTTCTATGTCTGAGTGGAAATCCATTTGTATTACAGTTGGATAAAAGAATGTCCTAAGAATGTATCTTTTCAGAAGGGATCTTAGAATGTAAAGTTCGGGAGGGAAAGAAACCTCCAGGGAAAATTCCTGGAATGATATTCCCCAACTTGGAACGCTCCAGCATTGCTGTGACAGCATCCCCCAAATTCCAGCCATTGTGGAATTCTGGGAGTCAAAGTTCCAAAATAGTTTAATGGCACCCAGTTGAGCAAGGAGATTGAGATAATTTTCTTTATGGATTAACTATTTGACTGATATTGAGATACAGACCAATAATTTAGTATATACCGCAAGCAGAGCCCAGATTTCAGTTATGAAAGGATTATCTTTCTTTTATTTAGCAATGACAGAATAAGAGGACAGTTTCTTATGAATCAGAGATAAACTGACATTGTCCCAAGGGCGTTCCAATTTATACTGAGGCAAGGCAATTTTATGTAAATTGATCTGACTTCTGAAAGGATGCTTTTGATAAAAGTTTGCAGTGAACCTACATTTATTCAGAATAAGGAGTCCCACAAAGAGCTCCTAAAAGATCCAAATAAATTCAACAAAAATAAGATTAAGTTTATAAATTCAGTTCTATGTAACAGAGAATAAACCTGTAAGTTGGATAAAAGTGTATACATATACACAGGACTAAGCTGTAAGTTGGATAAAAGTGTATACATATACACAGGACTAAGCTGTAAATAAACCTAACAACAAAAATAATGCAGTGATTCACACAACCATTTGAGGGGGAAGCCAAACCTATAACCTCATCAAATGTCATCTGCTGATGGCATTTGAACTCGCATGCACTGTTGTAAATGAAAAAGCATAAAAGATGTGTGTTTATTTTAATTATATAAATTAATGAAAGACAGTTTCCAGACAAAAATAGGAATATAACTCACGAGACTACATTACTTCTGAAAAGGTAGCATAATATGCCTTGTAAAACTGACATATAACTTACCTCTCTTTTTAGTGCCTTCCTTAACTCTTAAGCAAACAAAATGATCTTTTTTTCCCAAGAGTCCCAAAATATCAAGAATTTCCTCCACCTCCATTGTATTATTGGGACAAGTTATATTAAAGGCATCTCCAGGCTGGTAGTTAAATGTTGTTTCCTGTATTCAAAATATTATTATTATTATTATTATTATTATTATTATTATTACAATCAGCCAGATATTTAGACTGGATTTTGCATTTTTATCAACTTATTGAGTCCTTCCCAGGGACCTGGAATATTTGTCTTTAACCTTTTCTGTTTCCTCTAACATAATCACAGATGCACTGAAGGAACAATCAACCAGAATGACACTGAGAATTTATCAGATAAGTGTGTATATTGCCATTTTACCTATTTATAGGAATCTCACCAAACTAACTGCATTCACTACAGAACATCTAGATAAGCACTTCAAGGTTTGGGGTGGGGGGCAGGTCTGGTCTCCATCACTTCCTCCCCTTCAGCAATTCCAGGGTAGCCAGTTACTTAAGCTCTTTCCCTTACTTCAGTGGCAGATTCCACATCCGGAATACTGATTCTAATTATTTTTATTGAATTGGCCAAATTAGGTATTACATTTCTGCTGTTCTTGTCCTGTTTACTTTTCCTACAAAATAAACAAGTTCTATACTGAGATCCAGCTCCTCCTATCCCGCTTGCTTTGCCCTTATTTTAATTTCTAAACTACGCCATTTTCTGGGTTTTGTTTTACTTATTACCCAACTAATATGAAAGAATATCAATTTCCATAATTTAGAGGACTATCGAAGAGGCTTTTAGAATACCTCCTTTACATGCATACACACAAGTGAGGAAACCCTACATCAGTTAAATAAAGATTTAATTGCCCAGTGAACACTGAATGCCAACTATCCAAAATAAACCAGTGCAGGGAAAGCAGAGTTTGCTTGCTGAAGCTTTGATTAGCAATACATCACATTGAAATACATACTGCAGTTCTATGTTTATCAATAACAGCTGAAGTAATTAAAAACATCCATCAACTTACAGAAATATCCAGTTCAACCAGCAACGTTTTTTTAACTGCATCATCCCTAGTAAGTTGAATGGCCTTGGTGACAGGAACATGATAAATGGAGTTTTCTGAAGTATAAAGTAGGCTGGCATTCTGCAAATAAATTGACACAAGTTTAATTCAAAGAACTAACTATAAGAAATAATTACACAAGATGTTTGATATTTACACTTGATGAACAACCCACCCAAATAAAGCCCTTTTAGGGCCACATATTTCAACACAGAATATTTATTTTCCACCTGCTGGAACATGTGTCGCCCTCATTTTCACATGACATTCATGTATTTTAAGCCTTTTCCTCTGTTAGAATATGAATATCAAAGGAGCAAAGGCCAAACTTGCTTTTAATAGGTGGTAGAACAAGGAATCTCGGCACAATTTCCCCACTCCAAGGGACCACCTCTCATTCTGACCTAGACTTTGCTGAATTCTAGTCCTTACTTTGTAGGGATTAGAGGACTGCAAACTAACTTGCAAGAAAAAAACTTAATTATTAAAGATCTAATTAAGTCTGAATAAGACAGGCTGTTGTTGAAGAATTGATGCTAATATCCATGTTTTACTAATTTGTTTTATCAGGTACTGAATTATAATTTTAGAAACACATAATTGTAAAGACTCTTCTATATGTTTAGCATGAATTCTAAAGCAAAATTCCAGATTCTGAGGTATTTACGGCTATAACATCTTTAATATGGGAGACTTTACCTGACCACGACTTTCTTCAAGCTGCACCTCTAGGTATTCCGGTGGCAAAGCAGGAATATTAAGTGTAGCCTTTGAGAGTGGAGGCACTGAGAAAGAAAGTGACGGTTGAGAGTTTTCAGTAGGAATTTCCGAGTGAATATTTTCTTTTGATGAAACATTATTTTTCACACCGGAATCTTCAGTGTTCAAGCATTCTGCTTGGAGGCCTATACGGAGATTAGAAAACTTGTTGGCACAAAAAGATGCATTTTTGTCTTCTTTTCTAGATGCAAACTCTTGATTAAGTGCAACCCAAAGCCCAGCAATCCATGGTTCAACCACCAGCTCCAACCTGAAACAAAATAAAAAGAGTAAATAAATGAAAAGATCAGGGCAAAATCATCTCTTTTGACTTGGTCTTGACTTGAGGGTGGCTTCATGGCCACGTCCACGTAGTTTGCTTGCCAATAACCTGGAAATGATTTGTCATTGTTCAAAAGATAAGCAGAGTTGACCGTGGCTGCTGCTTGGATGAAGACCAGACTGGGATTTTAGGCTGAAGGAAAACAGTGATAATCCACTTCCATTCTGTTGCTCAGAAAGCAATACGGACATCTCTCTACAGACACCAGGATTAAGGACTTGAAAGAGGCTTGACTTTAAATTAAATAGAACAACAGTTATTGCAGGTAGTCCTTGACTTACAGCTATTTAATGACAGTTTGGAACTATGGTGGCTTCAGAAAAGTTGACTTACGACTCACCCTCGATAATACAACCATCGCATCCCCCCTGTGGCCACATGATCACAATTCAGGTGCTTGGCAACCGGCCTGAACTGACAATGGTTGCAGACTCTTATGGTCACATTATTGCAATTTGCAACCTTCCCAGCCAGCTTCTGACAAACAAGGTCAATTGGGAAAGCTTAGTGTGCTTAAGGATCACATGATTCACTTAAAGACTGTGGTAAAATGGTCATAAAATTGGATCTGGTCACCTGATGACTTGCTTAACGACTATTATAGCTTAGTAACCAAAATTCTAGTCCCAATTCTAGTTAAGTCGAGAACTATTATTTACTTGACTGCTGTTAAAGAAAACCCATAAATGCCACAATAAAAAACATACTTTTTGGAAATCCTTATGTGAGCATTTTCACAAAGAAAGATATAAGAACTTACTGTTGTAAAGAAAAGAAAGGCTAACCTTCCTGCTTTTCTCTACAAACTCACCCAAACTTCACCTTTATGAACTCAAGATACAAATCTTTTCTGGAATTGATATAGAACAGGGGTGTCAAACTGCCGGCTGGCTGGTTGCATCATGCGGAGGCCACGCCCACTACAGCTCCGGCAATGCAAAAAAAAAGTCACGATGCGTCGCGACACGTCACGTGATGCTGTGAGTTTGACACCCGTGATATAGAAGCAAGGTAAAATGATAAAGATGACAGCTGTCCCTGAGTTCTTGGTATTATTTCTGCTCAACAGTTCTCCTGTTTTAGATCTTAAACTCACCCTCACAGTCACTAGGTGAGGAAAACAATTTACACAAGGCTCAGCAAATAATAGCTGATAAGGAAAGAAATGTGAATCAACAAACTGTCTTGGGAAAAAAAGCTGGCCAGGTTGATTTTGGGTGGTTTCACTTTCAATTGGATTGGGCAGAAGAGTAGTTGAAATCCAGTCCAAAGTTCAGAGAGGCAAGTCAGGTTTATCAGCCACTCAAGGCTACAGTTTCACAATCAGGATTCCCAGGAATGACATGCCACAGCAGGAAATAAAATGGAGAAACACATGGGTGCCTCTTAAATCAGCCTGCAGCCAGTTGTCTTTAATCATTCAGCTATTCTGATGGTGCCTAAATTTAATCAACTTCAGGTGATTTTGGCTTAGTGTCTCTCGAGGCTGACATTCCACTGGTTTAGCTGGAGCAACTTCTTCAGAGTCATAATCTGTCATGGGCCATGACAATAGTTCTGCCAATAGGCAAAAGAGTCAAAGCCTTGTCTCAACTGAGATGAGGGAATCTCAGTTTTAACTTGTGCTAACACAGTTGTTCCAGGAGTCAAGACTAGCATGGGTAGCATGAAGCCATGTCAACTCTAGCCAACTTCCTGACATATTTTTCCCGGCTTTTAAACCTTCCCCCCCTCATTTGTTGTTATGGGACCATCATTATTCCATTAAGTAAAACAATATTTCATATTTATATGAAATATAAGTATGTTGGAAAGAAATTAAAATAAAACTTATCAGAAAGAAATTAGGTTCTTACCCTACAGCGTCATCAGCTAATCCCACTTCACAAAACCGTTGAGCCCCAAGTTCCAGAAATCGTTTGTCTATTATTTTCCCACCATTGCAGAAGAATGTGTATTCAGAGTCTCCTAGACCTGAGAAGATCAAATTAAGGATTAAACTTGCATCAGACATCCAGATCATGTAAAGAGACAAAGGATTCCAAAATGAATTTAAAATTATACTCAAGCATTAGAAAAACAAAAAAAACAAATAAGAAACAACCTGTCTCTACATCCCCCATCCCAAAATCCTAGAATGAGTCAACATCACATCTATATTCTAGTACACTTCTCTGTAAAGATTATACTGGGGAAATTCTAGTCAGAATTCCTCAACTAGCTTAGACATAGATTCCAATACCTGTCATCCCTAGCCAATACCACTCCAACACTATGATGTATGATTGGCTGAAATGTATCTTTTGATATCTGTTTATAGAAATTCACTATCATTTGAGTAACAGCTATGAGTACAAACAAAGCAATTTTCTACAGCCTCTGCCTATGGAAGAGCTTCAGTTTCTTCCAGTTTCTTTTGTTCTCCATAGAAATCAAATTAGTATATATTCCATACAGACAATAGGATGACTTCTAGGCAAAATACTAAATGAACTCCACACTTCAGCCAACCAGAAAGAACTTCAGAAATGGTGAGTTCCTTTGGGAATAAAATGGAATGAGTATCATTTCCTCCTAGTTGGTGAAGGCCAACTGGGAGGTGACATGCAGTTGAATCACTCACTTATTCCTTGGTGACCTTGCATGTAGGGAACTGTAATGCACTTTACTTGGGGCTGCCCTTGAAGACCATATGTAAACTGCAAATGGTACATAATGCAGCAGCATCTTCTTCATGACCTGCATTGGTTTCCACTTACCGGTAAGTTTCCATGTGCAATTCAAAGTGTGGGTTATTAGCTATAAAGCCCTTCATGGCACTGCCTGTCTGAGGAATTACTATCTCCAGTGCAGTACAACTGGACAGAGTTGGCATGCTCTGAGTCTCACTGATCAAACAGTATCATCTAATGGAACCCAGGAATAAGGGCTTCTCTATTGTAGCACCTGCCCTCTGGAAAAGTATTCCCCCTCTCAAGATTTATCTTGTCTTTATCTATCTTGTCTTTGCTCAATGGTCCTTTAAAATAAAATTTTCTTTCTAAAAAAGAATTGCTTTTGTTCCCAAGCAGGCTTTGGATAGGGCAGATGGGTGGAGGGGAGGGAAATACTATGGAAATATATATGTTCATTGTGTGTTTTATTGTTCTATCCAGGCATAATTGTTCTTTATTATATTGTTTTCTACTGTTCTTAATGTTGTCCTCTGCCCAGAGTCATGAGGGAGTTGGAAAGCTTTATAAATTAAGTTATATTGAGTTAGCTAACTAAAAAGAAAAATAAAACCTAACAAAATAATTAAAACAGCTGGCTTGAGTGACAAATAACTGAATTGGGGCTCTGCAGTATGGAAGAACTGTGTTCACTCTTTGTTAGCTACTTGATGTCCAAGGTATTTCTGAGGGAGTAGGCAACGACTCAGGAATTTTTGAACATTTAAATTGCCCAAACAATAAAGTGATCTGGGGTGAATCATACATCTAGTCCCAATAGAAAAGGCATTAAGGGGATCAAAGGACTCAAGTTTTCAATCTCAGTTAAGCAACAGTGTCTACCCTGAGATAAATGAAGTTGCTTCAACAAATTACTGTTCAGTGCTCAGAGATGGAAGTAATTTAACACACAAGTTGCGGAAATAGTTAAATTTATGTATCATTTAGATATTTTGCATGACATGTGATATTTGGGAGCAGCCCAGAGTTACCTGAAAGATTGGCAGCTATATAAATGTTTTAAATAAAATAAATATTTTATAATTTGCACATAAACATTGTCCTTTAGAGAAATCGCACTGTTCTTTCACTATTTATTATTTATAAAAGCCATTTTTTCCGTCATTCTTTAACAGAACACCGATGACACTGTTTCAAGTTTCGTTGGATTTGGTTTGTTATTCACAGGCTGTTAAATTGTATTTTATTTTTATCTCTAAGATTTATTTTATGTTACCTAGTTCAGTGGTGGCGAACCTATGGCACGGGTGCCAGAGACGGCACTCAAAGCCCTCTCTGTGGGCACTCGCGCCGTCGCCCCAATCCTAGGCCTTTAGTGGGTTTTATAAAACCTTTTCGCTTTAGGCCTCCGCCACCGTGTACAAAAAACCCCCCAAAGGTTCAATCAATCAGTCAATTTCAACTTCTTGCAGGAAAAAAAAGATCTTGCAAAGTTGGAATTGATTGATTGAACTTTTTAGTCCCACCCAGTCTGCCATTACCACTGCAGCCACACCCACCCAATGGACCACACCCACCCAATGGGCCACACCTACCCAATGGGCCACACCCAGTCAATGGCCACACCCACCCGGCACCCGACGATGCATAAATGGGTTTTGGGTTGCAGTTTGGGCACTCGGTCTCTAAAAGGTTCGCCATCACTGACCTAGTTTCTTTATTTTAGAAACTTTTATTTTATTTAGATTTTTTAAAATCTACTTTTCAGGCAAAAATAGAAGAATTTAATTTACTCCACAAGATATATGTAGCTCAGATTTTTTTCCTTCCTCATGAGAACAATAATTTATAAGTCATTTACCTAGCAGTCCATATCGTATATGAGACAAGTGATCAGATGGCAAACTTTTGTCATTAATTTCTTTTATAAATTTGATTGCAGTATCTGGAAGCTCTCCTGTACCAGTAGTAGAAGTAATAATAACCACAGGATCCTTTTCCTTATCCAAGTTATACTATAAGTCAAAAGGAAAATATAGTATTAAAACACAAAATCAAAATAACTCTGTGTCATCTGTACATACACTAAGAAATTTATATCAACCAATATTAAGGCATGTTGGCTGGGGAATTCTGGGAGTTGAAGTCTACGCATCTTAAAGTTGCCAATGTTGAGAAACACTGCTCTAGCTTTATGACAAAGATCTGAACAGTACAAAAAATATTCAGAGATCTATCATATGATTACTAAACCCTTCAGAGTCAATATTCAGTGATTCAGTGCATACTTATAATTTCTAAGACTGCTGTAGCATAACGTAGGCTGAAAAAAGTAGATTAAGAGCTGTGCTTTTAATAGAAAAAAATTAGCAAAAATAATAAATATAATTGCAACTACATGAAGCATTTTAACTGTAAAATTTACTCTACAGTTAGTCCTCAACTTATGTACACAATTAGTCCTGGAGCGCTGGTCATAAATCATTGCAATCATTAAGTGAGGCATCCATGTGACCACTTTGCTCAATGACTGCAATTTCTGGACCTCCCAGTTGTGGTCCATTAAGTGGACAAAGCCAAAGAGAACAGGCCTTCCCTCCAGGTACAGAAGGGAATTGCTATGCTGGAACAGAGAAAAGAAACTCCGAGCTTCTTTTCTCTGGCCCAGTGAAGCAGTTTTCATCCTCTCTGTTTGCTAGACTTTTTAACCTTTAGAATCACTGCTTTAGCTAGCTTTCTGTTTTTCAGGCTTTCTGCCCTTCAGAAAGGCTTTCTGCCCTTTCAAGTCACAAAGCTAGCAAATGCAATCTTTCTGAACAGAAAAGCAGAAAAAAAAGCCTTTCTACCCTTCAGAAATATTGTGTTTGCTGGCCATTTATTTTCAAACTTGTATGCCACCTATCCTGCTAAAGGCGACTGTAGGCTGGAAAGCTAGGAAACAGGATCGTTCTAAAGCAGACATGTCAAACACAAGGCCCGCAAAGAGGTTTCATGTGGCCCATGAAGCCATCCTGGAAACAGTGAGGGAACGGCCCCCTCTGCCTTGGCCCTGGCCCAGGCCGGCTGGGAGCCAATGTACAATTTTGTGGTGGCCATCTATGCTGAAACGCATTCAGTCTTAGCTCCACAAGGCCCTCTGGAACCAGCGAGGAACCAGCCCCTGCCGTGTCGGCCCTGCCCCCTGGGTGCATGCTGGGGAGGTGTCACCCTTTGTGAGGAATGAAAAAATGCACCATTGCCTAGAAATGGCCAGCAAATGGCCCTCATCTACTTCATATATCCAGCTTGATGGGCTCCGGCGGAGGGGTTTCAGCAGGCAGTGAGGCTCCTCCAGTGGACCATGCCTTGGCACTTGCCCCGGTCCCACCCCCTTCTGCCAGAGACCCTCAGATCTGTCCCACTCCTGCCCGGGCCCCTACAGGCACCCTTGACGCGAACTATGTAGAGCTGGCCATGCCCACCCAATAGGCCACACCCACTCCGTACACACCCACCCAGTAGGGCACACCCACCCTAGCCACACACCCCCGCCCCCCCACGAGGGCAACCGCAATGCTGATGCGGCCCTCAATGAAATTGAGTTTGACACCCCTGTTCTAAAGGGTAAGCAGGCTTTTTCCAGCTGGTTTCTTTGAGAGCAACAGGGCTGCTTGGCAGAGGGATTTTGCCCAACACAGAGGCAAAATCAATCTGATAGACAAGCCCTTCTACTTTCAAAGACCCTGGCTGAAAAAGTCCCCGGTTAAAGTAAGCAAGATTTTAGCACTGGGTCCTTGCTAATAATATGAATGTCTCTAGGTGTGATTAGATCAACCACTAGATCAATGGAGATTCTGCTACAAGATACAGGCATACTTGCACAGTTTAATCATTTTTAGTTATTAGATATCCAAAACAATACTTTACATAGGCTATCCGGGTAGTCCTCGACTTATGACCATAATTTATGTTGTTGAGCCATTAAGTGAGTTTTGTCCCATTTTACAACCTTTGTTACGACCCCAGTTGTTAAGTGAATCACTACAGTTGATAAGTTAGTAACACAGCTGTTAAATGAATCACTACTGTTGATAAGTTAGTAATACAGTTGTTAAGTGAAACTGGCTTCCCCACTGATTTTGCTTCCCAAAAAGTTACAAAAGGGAATCGCATGACCTTGGGACACAGTAATGGTCGTAAGTATGAACCAGTTGCCAAGCATCTGAATTTTGACCACATGATCATGGGGCTGTTACTAAAGTTGTAAGTGTGAAAAATGGTCATGTCACTTTTTTTCAGTGCCATTGTAACTTTGAATGGTCACTAAATGAATTGTTGTAAGTCAAGGGCTAGTATTCAGCACAATATACTATTTCTGGATTAGAAAGAAATGAGATCAAATTCTAGTCACTGCCTTGCTAAGTTTAATTTCGACTTTCTAACATATTCTGAGGAAGAAGCTGAAATACATATTCATGCATTTTAAAAAATATCCTTTCTACTTTATTTCTTCTTCTCCAGTTCCTTTTCTGTTTGAAAAAAAGATAAACTTTTACAGGTCTATATAAACAATTGACAGTACAACAGTTTGTTTCATTTCAACTGAACAGAAAAAAAGCAAATCATGCTTTTTGATAGATAGATTTCTAAGGAATCATTTGAATATTCAGATAAAAGAGTAGAAGACAAAGGGCAAATATTCAATGCTTATTTTGTCAAAAATGGCTTTTAATATTACAGTCTCACCTGCTCCGATTCACTGATGCAGTGAATATCAGCTTCAAATCCATGTTCCTTTGCCTCCTGGCATATTTCTTCAGCTATGGCTTTTGCCTGTCCTTTCTGACTTGCATAAAGCAGCAGAAATCTTCTATTTCTTTCACAACACATTTTCCAAGGTTTAACTGAGGGTGGCAGGAAAAGAAAAATATGTGGTGCACTTACTTCTAATGAACAGACACAACTCTTTTGTACACCAACCTGTTTTTGGTCGTATTTCTTTAGTTTTACAGGAAAATACACTGGGTGAAAATTCTTAATGGATAACATCTACATTTATTAGCGTTCCACTCTTCTATTCAAAACAGTTAACGTAAATAAAATACAAAACAAAAATAAAAACTAATGTTTAAAAGGGGCAACTAAAGGCCTGAGAGAAGAGATGCACCTTGGCTGCTACTGCAAAAACAGAGTAGGGATCAAGCACATTCCCACGTGACCAATAAAATGTATCCCTGAAAGCAAGCAAGAAAGAAGGTGCATAGGTCTCAAACAGGCCTTAAGCCATCTAGGGCTTTATAAATTGTACATGGAAAAGCACTGATCGAGGGCAGATTTTTTTTAAAACATGGACCTCTAATGAAGCATGCCACGTTTTGCACCAATGGAAACTGCCACTGCATTTGTCTGTTTCCCTTACATTCCTCTCCACTTCCGAAGGCTCTGAACGGCTTACTTTACAAGTAACAACGCAGAAAATTAAAAATAACAATCACATTAGAAAACAACTTTGCTCGGTTCTTCGAAAATACAACTGGGGAGTGGGTGGGAGTCCCTGCAGGTGGACTCTTGGAGGTGAGTCCCCCAGCCAGATCTTCTCCGACAGGCAAATTTCACACTGGAAACCTGTCTTGTCTTTTCCGGGTATAAAAAGGCAAATCGTCCCTGAGCGCCAGAAAAATACCTTTCCTTTAAAGCAGAGCTGCAGCTGCTCTTCTACACGAGAAGGTTACAACAGCCTCCGATCACACGCGCGCCGCACAGCACCGCCCAGTTTTGCGCTACTACAGGAGTCGGATCCTCGCTGGCACAGGGTCGTCGGAGAGAGCAATCCGGCTGGGTCAGAAGGGGACCCACCGGAAAGAGCACGAAGCGAGACCTGCGGTCTTTTCCAGCGCTTTGCCTGGAAGGAATACCAGCAGTGGAGCGCCGGCTCTCCAGAAATCCTTCCAGAACAGGCTGATTCCCCCTCCGTCCGCCTGGGGCACTTTCCTAACCCTGTCTCTTGTCAGTCGTCATGAAGGGGTGGGTAGACTTTTTTTTTTAAAAAAAAGTAGATTAATGTTCAAATCTATAAAGAGGCGACCGTCTTTCTCTTCCACCCTTTTTCTAGCTTCCAGGGAAATGCCATAGGAGGGGCCTGCCTAAGAAACTCCTCACCCCGCGCAGTTTTTCGAAATGCAAACAGCGGAACAGTTTGCACTCCCAGCTGTTTTGCAAAATGTTCAGAAAAGAGAACCATGCCTAATTGATATGCACAGCAGGAGGGGCTGGGTCGTCGTGGCTTGAGGTAGCCGGGGATGCTGAGATGGAAACTAATGATCATCTGTCATGAGCGCCACTATTTGAAGCGTTGAGGCATTTTGTCAAGCCGATGAATTTTGATTTCCAATCCCATCATTCACCAGCAAAATCAACCGGGAGCGCAGGGCATATATCCCTCTGCCAGATTTCTATCTCCACGAAGTATGCAAAAGCAAATCAGGGTCACGTTGAAGTGGGCTTTGCGACTTTCTAGCCAATCAATGACTCTAGGAGGGGAGGCACAAAATGAAAAACCGGGATCCGATTGGTCGCCGCGCTTAACCAGAAGTGGAACCTTGAAAGCGCCGAGGAAGAAGGTAAGGATGACCTGCACGTGGAGCTTTCTGGATGGGGCTCTAGCCCAGTGTTACTCAACCTTGGCAACTTGAAGAGGTATGGACTTCAACTCCCAGAATTCCCCAGCCAGCTGTGCTGGCTGGGGAATTCTGGGAGTTGAAGTCCATACCTCTTCAAGTTGCCAGGGTTGAGAAACACTGCTCTAGCCCATCGGAGGACTGCGGAGCGCTCCGCTCGGCTGCGCTCTCTCCCGCTCCGCTTTTTTTTGCTTAAGACCCTCTTAAGTAGCCTCTTGTAACCCTTGGGGAAGCAGTTCCGTGCCGCTTGCCCTGGGTGAGCGCTCTTGTACGTTTGGGAACTACGGTTCTCTGGCCGGTGGGTCTGCGATTACGGCTACTAGTAAAAATAGGCCGGGTAGATTTGGAGAGTGTCAGCTTTCCTGGCCCCCTTGGGCTCGTGCGACTCTCTTTGACTTGAATATTTTTGCTTTCTCGCTCAGGCCTGGGCGGAAGCGCTCCTCTTTAACCCACTTCTGGTTTCTATGGGTTATCGTTGTGCTTTATTATTTGTTGTTGTCGGAGAGCAGCAGCTTTGCTGATCTCTTTTTCCCAGGCCCAATAAAAGGACCGCTCTGGCGACAGCAGTTTACCACTTTCCTCCTACCTTGAGGACCGGAGAAGAACGCATTGGGCGAGGAGTAGGAAAAAGCTCACATAATCGTATTTCAAATAAAAAGTCTTAAAGCCTGCCTTTGATGTTTACAAAAATATACACAATTTACATTTGCAGTGTATTGCATTTTGCATAATTGGGTGTGGTTGTTTTTTTTTACTATCGCAATACCGACAAAAGGAGCAGGATTGAAATTTCTCCCTTGGCTGCTGGATGCAGCAGTCCCAGCTACTTATTCCAGTTTCAGAACTTCAGTTAGCCTTATTCGTAATACTTTCAAACATATATTTACAGACTAGCTGTACCCAGCCACGCGTTGCTGTGGCTCAGTCTGGTTAGCGAGTGTTGCTTTTACGTCCAACAGATGGCGCTGTTTTTCAAAAAAGCATGTTTTTACCTGTCACAGGTGTGACATCTATATAATAGGTATATAAAAACACGCGTGTATTCGAAAGTATATAAAAACACGCACGTATAAGAATGCAACGTTGTGTCAAAAATTCAAAGCAATCGGTGAAGAACTTTCGGAGATTTAAGATTTTGAACAAATGAACATTTACATTTTTATTTATATAGATATTAAATGTTTAAGGTATTTTTCTGAGCTGAATTCATTAGTTAACAGTCTCACATTCTAGTCGTTTCATATTCACACAGAATTGAGACATTGATGTTAACTCTACACTGTCTCTTATCTATTATTTCAAACAGTTTAAAAAGGCAATCTCTCTAGTAACTTTTTCTTTTATTTTCAGGCAATGTCAGCAGCTAAGCTAAGATGGCTTTCTTGGTTTTCAGATCTTCCCACCTATATGTTTCGAATGTACAAGCATGCAGACAATTGCTAACTGGAAGCAGAGCCTTTAGCCATTTCTGTCAGAAAATGAGGCAGTTAGCAATCTGCTACTTTGACTCTTCTATATTGGAAAACCAAAGAGGGTTCCAGTGCACTTCTTGTAGAAACCACCATGTGAAACTAAAAAATCATACTAGCCCTGTTGTGGAAACAATGCAACATCTTGGAGAGGCCAATAACAATTTAAAATCTAATAGCAAGATAGTAGGTGAACAGATATTTTTGAAAGAATTAAACCAATGGTCTTCATACAAAGATATTTTCAAATTTGTGAGTTCATTGGAAAATTTATCTGACATCATGGTAGCAGCTATCTTTCAGCGATTGGGTGAAGTCCAGCTACAGGACAGCTTAATGAAAAGTCCCGAGTTGCTGATGGAAAATGATATCTTCAAATCACTTTGCTTGCAGCTGGAAAAAGAATCTACACTGTTGTCTGACCCTGCTCTTGTAAATTCTCTAAATGCTTTGACAAAGTTGCACATGGATCCTTGCAGTGCCCTGATGGCTTGCTTGGTGTCAGAGAGCCAGCAACGTCTTGATAAGGGACAAATGACTATAAAAAATTTGTGTATTCTTGGAGAAAGTTTATTTAATCTTGGAGGACCAGAACATGCTATGCTGGAACAAATTATGAATCAAATTCAGAGTACAAATGTTGAGGACTGGAAGGTTGAAGAAATGGTCCTGGTATACAGAACTCTGCAGCTGTATGTAGGTAGGGAAATGGACCTTTTCCAGAACTTGTTAAACAAAATGAACAGTTTTGCAGAGGCAGAAGGTTGCCAGTTCACTCCCAAACAGACAAGTGCAGTGTTAAGTGCTCTGGTTGTTTTTGATGAAACCCAAGTCAATAAATTGATAATAAAACTTTGTAAGCATGCATCATGTTATATCCCATACTTTACAGATGATGAAATGATAAATGTGCTGGAAGCATTCATTCATTTCAGATGCTCTGATCAGTGTTTCACAGAGGCACTAGAAAAACATGTTACTAAGTTTGCCTTTGTGATGCATCCCAACACAATTTCCAAAATCATGCAGTACTGCAGTACACTATGCATTCTTTCCAAACCCATATTCAACGCAGTGGCAGAAACCTTTGTCTACAGTGCTGATAATTTCACTGTTTCTCAGATTGTTGAGCAGGTTGTTCCATTTGGGAAGCTCAACTATTTGCCCCCGTCTGCTCCATCTTTTTTACGACAGGTTGAAAGGTTTGTTAGCATGCGACTTTCTGAGTTTGAGCCTTGTGAACTTCTGAGCCTTCTTCATTCATGCATTCTCATTAAATGCTATCCGCTAAATTTTATGGAAAAACTGTTCAGCCCCTTTTTTCTGCAGGAACTGCAAGGTAAGCAAGTAAACTTTATAATTTCTGTTATAACAGTCCTCTTACTAACAGTTGTTTTCAAATAATTTGTAGGAGCCATATGCACTCCTTAAATGAAGATTAGTAAGGCATTCAGCTGCCTGAGTGGTCTTAAAATATCTTGCACATCTTATAAGACATAGCAGCATTTACAGAACAAACCAAGTACGGTTGAAATTTTGGCATCTGTCTGGCTCATCCCCATTTGCCTCATCCAACTTGCCCAAAGTTGAGTTAGATAGCTCAAGATTTCTTATCTTCTAAGTTTGTTTTTCTGATAGGCAGTAATGACCATGACATGGCCATTTGGACGCCACACAAGGTAGCAGGAGACAACTAGTTGGAGTTTGGGTGTATTCATGCCATAAATACCAGTGTGTAATAATATAAAAGTAATACAAGTTATACTTGACTTAAAACCATTTGTTTAGCAGCCATTTGAAATTACTATGATACTGAAAAACGTGACTGATCCTTGCACTTATGACTGTCACAGCATCCCCACAGTTAAATTCAGGTGCCTGGCAACCGGTATGTGTTTTCGATGATTACAGCGTCCCAGGGTTGTATGACCTCCATTTGCAATATTGCCAGCCAGCTTCTGACAAGGAAAGTCAATGAGAGAAGCTGGATTTGCTTAATGACCTCATGGTTAGTTTAACAACTGTGGCAAAAAAAGTTCATAAAATGGGGCATGACTCATTTAATAACCACCTTAGCAAAGGAAATTCTGGTCCCAATTGTAATCATAAATTGAGAACTACCTGTGGTAATAATTTTGCCACGCATGTAGCGTTGCATCATTTTTTTCAACAAGTGAATGAACAAGTATAATGCTTTTGATTTGCTTATTTAATTGACTTTTATGTAGTTTTAGAACTTGTGTAGATCATGTTTTAGGTCATATTTATGCATAAATATTGAAAACTCAAAAGGGTTCACAAACTTTTAAAGACTACTGTAGGTTCTTCTTTATAACGTCTCTATTTTCAGAGCTATATTGATTACCAGTTTCCTTCTGGGTAGTAATCGAAGTGCTGATTGTTTTCTTTAAAATTTTGTACAGGATCCCTACCAGTGGGCCCTGCATGTTTTGTAAGATCTGGAAGGGTAATCTCTCTCCAGATCCTTTCTTCTAGGGCAGGGGTCCCCAACCTGTGGGCTGCTGCCCACTAGTGGGCTATGAGGGGTTTGCAACTGGGGCATGAAAATGGCCGGCGAGTGCACATGCGCTTACATATATCCTCACTTGCGCGATCAGCGGGTGAGCAGCGGATTCCACAAAGCCAGAAACGTTGGGGAGCTCTGTTCTAGGGAATGTTATCTTCAGGAATCACAGGGATTTCTTTTCTCAGTTATGGCGTCTTTTTTTGGAACAATATCCCCCTGCCCCGAGCTTAGACTGGTTTGTGTTGATTTTTCAGACAGCTATCAAAATGTGGCTATTCCGGAGTGTCTTTGGAATGGAGTTGTTATGAGTGCCCCCTCCTCTTAAAGCATTTTT